TTACATTATACTTAGTAGAGTGATTTCACAATTAGAGTTACACAATTATTGGGTTTGACACGTTAAACTTATGTTCTCACCTTATGGTGAAGTTGGTACTGACTACCATCGCACCTCTACGTATACCAATTTGATTCCTAGACATAAGTAAGTCTAGGGCGAGGGTTTGGGTATGCTAGTCCTCTCCCCCCTTTAAGGTTACCTGCATTCCCCTAAAAATTAATGATATTTTCATAATAAATGTCTACCTACGAATTTGTTTACCAATTGTTATGTTTATTTGGAAGCCGAATTATTATGAAGGCTCTATAGTCAAATCAAAATGTTTTTCTTAGTTACACGAATATGATCTCAGGACGATCGGATACTGTTAACATAGTTCCTATAGACAGTCGATAATTATCGAACGCTGTGCAATGAAAACGTTTAATCGATAAAACCCGAACGTGGTGCCAAGTACAAGAAAATGATAAGAGAATCTGGCGGCGGTTGTGGACGGTTTTTCTGCGGATGAGATGTTTTGCTTGCGTGTCAGAGATGAAATGTCGTTCAGTATATTTATATACACACACATGCAGAGCGAATCGCCAATTAAATGAACATACAAATAAGTATATGTAAGTCGGCTGGTATAGTCTATCAGCCTTTGTACAAGCCAAAGGTTGTTTCTATCAGTGCCATAGGCGACTGAGACATGCGGCCTACGTGTAACAGGTTATCCACCCAAATAACCGAAAAGCCGTTGAGCATGACTATGAGAAGTATTTTAGGAACTCGAATATTATTTGTTTTAATAATTTGGACAAGATTTATTGGCTAGTAACTTGTACATGTCGTATCTAAGATATTATGGAGCAGAATTAATTAAATATGAAACGATTCTCCTTGGTCCGATTACACTAGCGACTGGAAAATACAAAACCTGAATTTAAAAATAGAAGTAATTCAATAGAGAACAGACCTACGAAAAAAAGCTCCTCGGTCCATACTGTTAATAGTCGTGAACTCGTAAACCTCTTTATAATTTTTTATTCTGGCGCGTATCTCTTTTATTGGGTTCGTCAATATATTATATAACAACTAAAATGAAGGGCCGTTATTATTGTTATACGGTAATTTCTCCCACTCATTGTGCGGACCACGGTTAGTTTACCTGTATACAACAAATTCAAAGGGTATCCCTAAAAAACAATACCGTTGGGACGGTGAAGTTAATTATTAATAATGATAAAAGTCTTTATAACACAATACTTGTATCAAAAGCTATACCGGCCGATGATATTTTTTTACAATATACATTATAGGTGCCACCTGTGCAAACATCCGTTGAGAGTCAGCTGTCCGTGGGCGACGGCGGCTTCTTCGCGAGGCCGCCCCGGAGACGACCGTGAGAACGTGGGGCGTTCGTTGATTGTCAAAGGGGTGATCATCAGTGTGGCTGCTGCTGCTGCCGCTGCTTTGCCAACGGCAGCAATAACAACCACCGCCTATGTACGTGTAATATCGGCAACAGTTACCCCTTGTGCACGGTTTTAGGTCGATCATCTCTCGATAACAACAAACAGGAGTAACAGCCGCACGCACACACACAATAATCGGAGAAGATCGGATGGCTGTAGCTCGCGAATAACCGGATAATAATGAGAGTAGCAAACGTACGGCGGCGGTGGCGACGATGGCAGAGCGAGAGAGACTATTGGAGATGAGAAGAAGAGAAGAAAGGGGGAAGGAAAAAATAGTGCAGCTGTCCGAGTGTAACCCCGTGAGAGTGCCGAGAGGGTTGTGCACTGCGAATATGATAAAGTGGATTTTTCGTCCGAAAAATGGCAAATTTTAACAAAAAAAAAAAAAAAAAACCATCCATACACTATACAATAACGAACGGGAGGGCGAAGCGAAGGGCTTTATGGTTATTTACAACGCGCGGCGGTATTCGGATGGAAATTTTGAAAAACGTTACATGAAAAAAAAAAATACAACGTTTCAATGGAATATAGAGCGAGATGAGGGAATTTGTAAAGAAACAAAATAACAGCTTATTCTAGGGTTTTTAGCTTCGATGTTTGTTTTTTTCGCTACAATAATAATTAACGAGCTTTGGCCGTTGTAAGGACTCTTGTTCGAGGTATGGTAGAATTAAATGCGTTAAAAGCTCTAACATTCAGCTAAACCGTGACCACCACATCAGTGCTCGACTACACCGATCGTTCATCGACCGCAAGCCATTCAACACTGACCGTGTATCGTTAACATACATATGTACGTTGTATAGTGAATAATACACATACATAAGTATTTATATGCATATAATATGTTGTAGATAATGGCAACACTTACACCACGCACCGGCCGATATGTTCAACGTGTATCGGCCATTAATAAATTGTATTGCTTATCCGTTTGTAGTTTGTACGCTATTTGTTTGGATGAGAATATATTGTATTATTACCATAATACACTACCACCATCGCTAGTTAATAGACGGGTAGTTTTCGTTAATTGTTTGTGTACAATTTATCACTTTAAGTATCTAAATTTATTTGTTTAACCTAAGCGTAAGATGTAGAAAATATACAATTGGTTACTGATGTTAGTGGTTGTGGGTAGTCTATCGATTTTGTGTTGAGAGACAAAATAACGAATTATAATTTGAACTAAATTAATTTACATGTTTTATATAAGTAGTTTAAGTTAGTTAAGGTCAAGCGGTGCTCATAGCTTAGATTATTATACTCAAAATCGCCACAGATTAGTGTTGCCGTTTTTACATAACAGGAAAAGTTTAAAACAATTTTTTTTTTAATATAAAATTTGAAAGAAAAAAACATGAATTAGGTGTGCTTTAGGCGGTTACGGGTTATATAACCCTCTTACACTGTGGAGACTATAGCCAACCTGTTGGAGAGATGTTTTCTCAAGTTATTGCTGCGCTTAACGACCGTTGGCGAGTATCGACTAATGTTTGAGCATTATACGGTTTGTACACATCGATATGGTTATGATTTCACAGATAAGGTATTAGGTGAGCCGTTGATAGTTTAAGTTTTGTCGGCGGTCGCAGGTCGCATTACTGTGTAGGGGCGACATATGTTTTTGAGCGTGGCAAATATCGGACGCCAGTTAAATATTGAATAGCTTTTAATGTTTTAATGTGTAAGAAAGTAAATTGTATTGTCAAAAATTTGTTAAGCAACGTTAACCGGCTTGCAAAATGTAGGTATGCTTAAACGATAACGACAGATACGGCCTACGGGGACACCGGTGAGAAAAAGAGGGTATTTACCCTTCTCTCGTTTTTACATCCGTAGTCGGCCACAATGCACTATATACCATTATTAAAATCAGTTCAAATAGTTTTTCTTTATCATTGTAAAATAATATTTATTTTACTTTCAAATATTAGCTAGTTAGTACACTGGAGAACGAGTGGCGGCAGAGTGAGTGAAACAGTAACGTGTTGCAGCAGTCCTCACTGTCGATAATCGGCTGCGGGTGGTCTTTATGGGCATACCACTGGTGTAGAAAGAGAGACAACCATCCTTCTCCATAACATTTAAGAAACCAATATAGTGTTCCGAAATTCTGCCAAATATATGCAAACCACACGAAAGAAAAGATAAATTGGTAGACATGAGGTAAATATAGTTACAGTTGTACAGTTATCGCTCAGTTCTCCCCCTGCCCCCTTTGTGTTGGGTTTTCATAGTACTAATATACAAAATGTAAATAATTTATTAACATATTTTGTAACACTCTTCCTACAATATTGTTTACATTTTTATAAGCACTTACTATGTCTGTATTTTTATAATTGCTAATAAAATTATGATATTTGAAGATTATTTTTGACATTTTCATGTCTTAGCTCTGGCACATAACCGAAAAAAGCGTATCAAAAAGCGTTACCAAAAAAAATGGGTTGAGATGAGTTGGGGGTGGGAGACAGGGGGTAGGAGATAGGGTGAGTGATAGGGACGGGAGATAGTGGGTAGGGGATAGGGGTAAGATACAGAAGATAAGAGATAAGAGATATGTTGTACGTTCAACGTTCAAATTAGAACTAAATAATAAATTCAAAATAGTTTAATTCTCTATGTTAAGTTACTTTTGGCCAGATAATAAACACTACAATTTTAGCCAGAAACATGATTGTACATAATTTTTTAATCTCCTTGGCTTATGCTGTAACTGGAAGCTCCATGTAATTTTTTTTTTTTTAATTATAATTCCACAACTAATCTATATTTATTCGGTACTTCAACGAGACATGAAAATGCTCTTTCGTGGTTGCAGACTCGGCTGAAAAACTTTTTTCAATAAATATATAATCTGAAATTTAACTGTATATTAGTAGTAATGTCAAGGGTTGTTTTTTAAGTTACACAACTTCGTTAAACCGTTAAAATTTGTATTTTATGCGTGCTCCTCGGATGGCGCTACATAACAACGGTGTTAGTCATTAGTGTATATTTTCGGTTTTTGGGTAAAGTTAAATGATTTCTAACATAAATAAATACGTTTTCCATGTGTTTTTCTCTTAAGAGTGAGATAATGCCGACAATGAAATGTTGACAGAGAGAGAAAGCAACATTTGGCGGCCGCGACAGTCCGTTTGAAATAAGTGTACTGTAATACCTAATAAAATACGGTTAAGGGTGTATTGGCCGAGGAAGAGGAAGCGAAGGGTAACTACCATAAGAATCACTTCCCGCATCCCTTTCGACGGCGGCCGAGACTACGACGTATTAAAAGGGTCTTTGTCGGGTTCAAAATCCACGACCCCATCAACCGCCGCGCCGACGCTGAGCAGATATAGATATATGTACACTATAATACCTACTACATTACACAGACGAGTCATACCCGCGAGTTACTATTGCCCGAACAAAATCAACACGTGATAACACAAATACAAAAAAAAAAAACAAACTATTTGTTATCATAAGTTATTTCTAATCAATCTTTATTTTTTTTTTCTCTTCACTTATGTACACAAACTTATTGCTCGTTAAAACATGATTTATAATAATATAATATAATATAATATAATAATAATTTCGCTAATCAAATCAATACATCATCAATATGTGTATTATATATATAATTTTAATCGTTATTGTTTATTATTATTTTTTTTGTTTACTTAAATAAATTTGTTTTATTTTTGTCTTTAATACCAAGTAGTAGTTCGGTAGTCTTCCGCGATACCTACGAGGTACAATTTTGTACTATCGATATTTGTTTCATAATAAATCAAATAAAAAAAAAAAAAAACACTTGTCAATAATAATAATAATAATAAGATAACACATAATAATATTAAGATATTGAATAAAAAAAAAAATCAATAGTCAGGAATAACATAACTGTGTATGTATAACATGTATACATTAAAAAAACTTAAAAATTCGCACCAAAAGGACGAGGGCGATAAAAATAATAATAATAATAAAAACATATTAGTTAACCCGTCGACTCTAATTTATTATAGTAAACAAAATAAAAAAAAAAATTGCTATTTTTTTCCTCAAAAAATATCATAGTCGGTTTCACAAAAATCATATAAGGTAAGAATAGTAATAATACAATAATAATATTAAAATTAGTAGGCAGGTACGAAACAAACAAGTGTAATCAATTTACATTAATACAAAGGTAATCGTAATTCTATAGCGTCGTTGTGTGATATGTAACACAGGGATATGTTTTTAACTAATGCAAATGTATTGGTACCCAAAACAAAAAAAAAACATTAATAAAAAAAAAATCAACAAAAATAATTACACCGATTACTGTATGTGTGTATATGTACGCGGTATAGGGTAGATTGAGCCATCAACAAACGACGCAACAATATAGGAATACAAAATCAAAATCAAGGGTAGGTGAGTGGTATCAGAACGAAATTGGCAAAAGTATATATTATAGATTTAAAAAAAAAAACAAATAAATCGAAACGCTTAACAATATTGTAATGCCCTTGGAGTTATAGGATTATTGTTATGTACAACATAAAATTAAAAATAGTTAATTTTTTAACCGCCAAATCGTTTATACAAAAAGTTCAATACTCGTGTATGATTTTAAAAACTAGTTAATTTCTTAAAAAATAATTTGTCATCAAAAAAAGGTAGAAAAAATATTGAAAAAAGTAAAATGATGGCGATCGTTATTGTTTGATTATGGTGTAAAAAATACACGAGTATTAAACATTAAGACTGATTAACGGCCATGGCATACGCGTGGACGCCGGCGGTCATTTTTAAGTGGTCTTGGTGCACGTCCAAAATGCCCATGGTGACGTTGGCGGTAGTAGTAGTCTTTTTCTTCTTCTTGATCTTTTCGTCGGCACCGTCGTGGGTCTTCTCGTGGTGCCGCTTGTGGTCCATGCGCACGAACTTCTTCTTACACTGCACGCACTGGTACGGTTTGTCGGCCGAATGACTAGACATGAAGTGCCGCTCCAGGTCGTTTTTGAAATTGAAGCTCTTCGTGCACATGGTACACGGGAAAGCCTTGTTGCTGTCGTTGTGCCGCAGCTCGTGCACCTGCAGCTGCTTCTGTTCGCCAAACCGTTTGCCGCACACGCCACACCGGAACGGCTTCTCTCCGCTGTGGAACCGTTGGTCGTGCTGCGTCTTGTAACATTTGTCTGTAAAATCTTTGTTGCACAGCTCGCACGTCACCTTGGTAGCCTTGCGGAACTTTTTGACGGACGACGACTGCGAGGCTTCTCCTCGGCCGCCGTTGAGCGCGGTGCCGCTGTCGGCCGTAGACGAGCACGATATGGTGGATTCCATGTCGACGGACCCTTCGCTGCCCAACGTGTTCTCTTCGTCGGCCGGCGACAAGGGGGCCACCACCAACAGGCCTTTGTACTGGTCGACACTGCTCGAGTCCGGGCTCGCTAGCGGCGTGTCCACGCTGTTGTAGTCGCCGTGCGAGGAGTCGACGGGTTCCATTTTGATCATTTGGCCGTGACCGTGCTGGTGGTGCGCCGACATTTGCTGCTGCTGCTGTTGCGCGGCGTACTGCAGTTGCATTTGATGTTGTTGGTATTGCTGCTCGTGCTGTTGTTGGTCGTACTGATCGCCGTTATTGTCGGGCATAGTGGTGTACAAAACCGTGTTGGTAATTTGCGGGATCATAGAAACCTGGATGGTGTATGGCTGCTGGGTGGTATCCGTGATCTGGGGGTGCTGGAATGCCGAATGCACTTGCTGATCCGCCGTCGACGGCCGCACGTGGTAAAACATGCCCTGTCGCTGGTGGTGGAGGTGGTGGTGCATATGCGCCGTTGGGTGGTCCGGGTAGCTGTTGTTGATGTTGTTGTTGGGGTACGACGAAGAAATTTGGGTCACGTCCGTGAAATCTGCCGTATTGCTGTTGCTGTTGTTGCTGCTGCTGCTGCTGATTGGCGGCTGTTGGGCCGGTAGGAATTGGGTTCCCCCCAAACTGTCCGAGAGGCTTGCTGTCAGGTTTGGGGGAGTCAGCTCTAAAAAAGAATCGGTACTGAATGATGACGAGGACGTGACTGGGCGGAAATCGGGCGGCATCATCATGGACTGTTGTTTGTGCGTACCGCCGTTCTGCTGCTGCTGCTTGAGCTTCTGTTGGGCTACATAAGCCGGGTCCCTGTACGGGTGGTAGTGGTGTTTCATGGGCAAAAGCGCCGGGTCCGGCTTGCCGCTCTGTTTGACCGCGTTCTTGTGCAGTTGCGTGCCGTAATGTCTCTTCAAATGGCCTGAGCTGGTGAACCATTTGTCGCACGCCGGGCACTCGTACGTTTTGGCACGGCGGGCCTCGTTCGACTTCCACGAACCATTGCCTTTGCCGGACGCGTTGCCGCCACCCGTCTGGTGATTGGTGTCCACCTGGTAGCTACCACCGTCGAAACCGCCCTGGTACTGCTGCTGCATGTCGGACGGCGGTGAACCGCCCATCATGGTCGGCGGCGTCGTCGTCGTCGTGGTCACGTTGTTGTAGTCTGGAGATAAGTGTTCACCGGATAGGGTGTTTTGCTGCGCCTGGAAGTAACCGGGCCACTCCACCGCGGGCGGAGGCGGCCTGTCGTACCCGGGCGGCACGCCAGTCTGTTGCAAAAACGCTTTACTGTCTTGTTGTTGCTGCTGCTGCTGTTGTTGTTGTTGTTGTTGCTGCTGCTGCGACATGACCTGCTGCGAGTCCAAGTCCAGTATTTCGGTTTCCACTTTGGGCGACACTTGCTGCTCCTTGGCCGCGCACATTCCGCAAACTCTCTTGCCGAAATGGTGGACGCCGCCGCCGGGCAGTTCGACGTAGCACCGTTCGCACCGTTCGACTTGTGCCGGATGCGTGACACCCGCCGAATCGTAATAAAAGCCCAGCCTGTCCGGGAACATGCTGTTCTTGTAGGGGATGCTGCTGACCGGAGGTATGGCGCCCGGCAGCTGAAATGAGTGGGGCCCGCTCGCCATCGAATGGTACAACGGGAACTCGGTAGCGTTACTAATCTGCATTTCCATGATTACCAGCGCTGAAACAAAAAAAAACAAAACGGACGTCTAAAAATAAAATCTCTACGGTTATTTATCGCAGTTTAAGTGTTGTGCACACACCCTGCCCCCGTGCGGTATGATTTGTCCCGCGGGAATTGACCCTTTCGCCGTGCCGGTGCCGACGGATCGCGTGCCCCCCCGCCCGCCCGCCCTCCGCATTGCTATGGTCGGCCTATCATCGAGGTGACGGCGGCGGCGGCGGTGTTAAGTTCACACGACCTGTAATAATTTACTTTCGTGTACCGCGTGCCCCGTTTACTGGGCGACGGTTCAATAATTGTATTAATTAATCGTCACACCTTTTCACCCCGTCGGCAAATTTTTGTCCTTTAAACGCCAACAAGTGTGCGTGTTTTTCGATTAAATAGTGAAAATCAAACGATTAAAACACGTTGAATTAGCGAAAACAACATTTTTCTCATTACGAAACGGCGGTCATTGGTAAAACAAAAAAAAAAAAGGGGGAGAACACGGTTGTTTTTTTATTATTTCTAAAAAAGGTCGCCGTTTCGAAAGGCCGAGCCGCGCCGATGCACTAAAAGACGGTATGTCAAGGTCGGGGTCGGCAATAAAAACCCCAAGAGCGACTATTCCGGCGGCGGCGCGACGACCACGAGACCGCGTTGCGTTTTTGGCGGTTAAACGTTTTAAATTAAAAAAAATCAACGTCTTAAGTCGTTATACCACGCAAATACAATAACGTATCGCGTTAATTAATCGATCGTCGATTGAAACATTATGATATTTTATCGTCCGATAAAAATCTCTAGACCACAATAAAGCGATAAATTATAAAATATCAAGTCGAGTCCCGTCGAAAAGGGTGACTCACGCGACACGTTTAATGAGAACGAGTTGTTACCGTTTCCACGTAAATACCGATGACCGTGATTCACCACACATGCATACACGGTAATTGTTATTATTTTATAAATTACTGTACGGTCGGCCCCGTGTGTATGTAATATATTTATATGAATAAACGTGCTATTTACACGACAAAAGACAATATTACAACGTACTTGTGCAGTTCTATTCGACTGGAATCGTCTGTTGTGAAATTGATCGTTTTGGTCTCGTGTATTTTTTTTCGGTTCGGCCGCCGCCGTCGATTAGAAAAAAAATAATAATACAAATATAATGTAACAAACGATTTTAGGAAATGCGGGAATTTCAAGTGCACCGAACGACTGACGGAATATTGTTAGTTACTCGAATAAGATACTAGTTATTACATTGAACGGGCGGCAACGGTTATTGGCCGATAATATTATGATTACGGTTCTTATCTGGGCGACAGCGGCCAGGGAAATACTAATAGGCCGGCCGGTGTATTTTCGTCCGACCGGCTCGCGTTCACGTACACAACGGAGGCGCTAAATAACTAATCCGATCGTTGGTAATTGTTATTGTACACCGGACTTATCGACCGTACACGTAATGGAAAAAAAAAAAAAATTCGAAGTAAATAATAATTGTCGATGTAAAAAAAACCCGTAACTCACCTTGTATTTTTTAGGGTTTTCGGTGTCGGCGTGAGAGAGCATGAGAATCAGCTGACCGCAGTCTCTTCCGCCGCGCGGCTGCTCTATTGCCGGTGTTTGTGTTTTTGTTTTCGTCGCCAAGATGATAGTGACGGTCGCGGACGCCGTTGCTATCATAGCTCGGCCGGCGCGGACGGCCCGCCGCCGGTCGACCGGTGAACACGTTTCGCGGTGAACATTGGTGGTGAAATTCAGACCCACGAAATCGAATTAATTTTTTTAAACAAACAAAAAAAAAAAACTAAGTTAACTCGGAACTGATTATTTAATTTTTATGGTCTAGCCTCAACTCGAATATAATTTTTTTTTTTCAACTATCCGATACTGCCGTAACGTGATGATGATGATGATGATAATAATAATAATAACAACAAACGCGGGATACTGCTGCGGACGGCGTGCTGCGACGACGGTGTGTGTGTGTGCGCACCGACTGACGGGGTGCGTGTGCCTCGGGGGGAAACATGAAACGAGTGCCGACAGAGTGACCGAGAAGACTGAAAATTTCGAATGCCGCCGCCGGTCCGCGGGCGCGAGCGGCCGAACGACGACCACCGACGGGGGTAGCGGCGGCGGCGGTGGGGGCGACGGACGGATAGGGTGGGAGGGACCCCGCGCCGCACACGATGACCACTACTATATACTCTGAATACTACGCGGCTATACCGTGTACACACATACACAGGTTAGGGCAGCAACCCCTGACGGCGGCCGGACGTACTACCCGGAGGCGGCGGCGGCGGCGGCCGATTCTCGCCGTACATAGCCTAAACGTTCGGCCAAAGGGTAGTTTCGGAGGTGGACGTTAAGGGGTGGTCGGGGGAACCGGCCGGCCAGTCCGGAGATGGCGGTGCGTGCGTGTGTCGTTCTCAGATATTCACACACACACACACACACACACACAACACACATACACGCACGTAGAGCGTCCGAAAATGCGAATAGCTTCCGAGAATAATATTCATCCCCCTCGTCGTCCTACACACCCCTTTCGGACACCGCGCACAGCTTTCTCCGCGGCGTCCTTGCACATACCCGTTGACCGGTCTTGCATATACATATACTCTCACTGCTCTCTCTCTCTGTCTCCTTCTCTCTCTCTTAGACGACATAACCCCTCTAGGCCCCCGGCGACGGCCAACATCACCTCCACCGCCTCCACGTCCACTGCCGTCACGACGACGACGACGGCGACGCCTTCTCCTCACTTTCCATACAACCCCTACACCCCTTTTATATTACATATTCACGGGGTTTCTATACATGTATACAATATTAATTCGATTCGAACGTGAGAGAGAGATAGTGAGAAAGCAAGTAGCGCAGGGTAGTGAAGTCCGGCCAGCGTTTAAGTATCGTTATTATTTATAATAATATATGCGTATAATAACCGGTGCGGTACGGACCGTCGCACGTGACGGTCACTCGGAGGCAGCGCGGCCATCGCGCTTTACGATGTAAATCTCCATCTCGGTCGTTTACATGTATATATGTTGCGAAGTATCGATCGTATAAGTATAATACATACGTATATACATATGGACACAAGCACGCTGTCCCTTGCGATACGCACACACATACCGATAGAGATGCGACGATTTTAATGTTATGCAAAAAAAAAAAAGTTATCCCAAACCACCGATTGCAAGTCCGGTGGCTAGTTCAGCCGAAGATGGCTTAAGCGTCGAAAGACATCTGACAAGCCTTACGAGCGATCAACTCGCCGCTTTGTCAAAGTATACAATACATAAAACCGTGTTAAAAATGAAATAAACAAGTTATGAAAAGAAAACGGAAATTTTGTCGCTCGTTCGGTGTTGGGTTAGTCGTATAATATTTATGAATGTCTTGAAACTTGGTTTTGACCGTAGTTAGCTTCTCAAAAATTGCTTAGCGACAATAGCCTCTGTACTTTTGAGTGCATCCATCAAAAAACGATATAACATAATATTTATATCGTATTATTATATCAAATGATTGGCACGACAATTATTGGATTAAATAGATTTGAAAATGTATTCAAGATCTAATCAAAATATTTCAGCATAATATGTATTGTATATTATAAACATAATTTTGTTCAAATTTGGGCCCACGACAAAAATGTACTGATTTTCAATATACACATATTAATTTAAATTATTAAATTGTTTAACGTCCTTTTGTCGTTTACATTTTTTAAACTGGTAGATAAGCAAATTATACTATTCTGATTATTCTATATAATATAAGCTCATCAAATTACTTACATACAATATATATACTTCAGCAAAAACTGCAAAAGATCTCTTTGCAATGTGTTACTTTATTTTGTGAGTGACTTAAAACATCTCAAGGTTTATATGAAATAAATTATACTATTATTATTTTTATGTAAAAATACTCATCCAAGCCGGTCACACAAATTGAAATTCAATGGACTAACGTCTGATGTTCAGTAAAATACTGAGTATCGCATACAAAAGCATCATTATTTCACGACGTGTCATATGTGTTGCTTCCAATCATGACGATAAAAATTTACGGGGTAAAACTAAATGCACACGTCATATTATATTATATTTTGTTCAAATGTGTAGGACTTAAGTGTTTAATATAGTGTATAAAGATAATCTTTGACGATAACAATAATAACACTAATTATAATTTTCATGGATTTTCGTTAAATTTTCTTCAATCATTATTATATTCAAAACAGAAAAATGTCTTTGTTTTTCAAACTTGAACTGTAATTGTAATAAATTTAAATTTAATTTATCCAAGTGCGCTACCTCTACGCTTTCTCTAGTTGAATACGCTAGAGAGAACTTATTTACAACTACAGCCTCTTAAAAGATCAAATCATTTTTAAAATAACTAAATTATGTATGTACCAAATTTTAAAAGAAAAATAAGAATAAACAACTATTACCTTTTTTTTCTGCATCTAAAACCATTTTTTTAAAAATGATTAAAAAGGAAAAGATAATTCAGTAATGATACTTTAGATACGGAATTATTAATATTTCAGCATTTTTTTTTTTAGAACTATTTAAAAAAATATATTTTATCAAATAAATAGTTTCGAGTTTTTATATACTCTAGTAACTCGACCAATTTATTCGGATAAATATATTTTTTTTAATTTGTATCATACCGTGAACCCAAATTCTAATTTTTAAAACAATTTTCTCAAGATAAAGATAATTTGTAATATATTTTTTTTTATTCATAAAAAATATATACGTCATTTTTATCAATCACTACATTTCACCATTTCGAGTTGGATTATCGCATGTATCGTGTGATAGAACAAATAATAAATATTATTGCGCCTTGGTAATATTATACATTGATAACTTATACTCCAAAGCGAACACCTTGGGGAATTTGAAGGTATCCCATTTGAGAGTGTATTAACTATATCTTACACGTGTGACCTATACGTGTGTCTGTCGAGTACTTTAATAGAGTTGTCTGTAAATAAAAGTTTCAATGTATTAAAAGAAAAACACTTCTGCTCTCAATAGATTTTGTATTATTTTTACAATTAACAGCTCATATATTATAGCACTTTTACTTAATACAAACTTATTTACATTATTTTTTTTGCTTCGACGTGTACCGAAATAGTGTTGGGGAAATTTGTTTAATAAAATTACAAACTGAATGAACAAATTAAAAATATTCAAATGTCAGATAATGCAGTAAGTTCAAAAATGTGAACACAAGTTTTTGAAAATAATTTTTTTTTTAAACCGCCGGAAAAACCATTCCACTACCGGGGAATTTTTTCCAGGCTTTGCAATAGCATAAACGGAAGCGTTTCAAGTATCGTTTATGCGGGGGCGACTGCGGTACTTGGGGGTGTGATTTCGTTTAATAACGGATAATCCGTGTAAACCAAACCGCTTTCGTTTGCAACATAAAGCGTACATATTCGTGTACATAATAATAATAATTCATAATAAAAACACATACATTTGAATTGAAAATTGCTGTGGATTGAACATCAAAAATATGTTATGTTATGGTATGTTATTACTGTTTTCATTGGTGTACACTGTGCACACAGAAAAGGCGTTGTAATTGTGTTTGAACTGTTTGGTCGTTTATAATCTTGGAGGATTAGCGTCCGGTAAAGGTGATTCTTCTCCTCCCACGCGTTTGCCGTTTTTCGGGACCACCACACCTCTACTCCTTAAGTGGCCAGAAAGAGTAAGTATTAATTTTTAAATAGACTTCAATTAGGGGCAGCTCTAGTTAATTGCCCCGGTATAGTTGCTACAATATTTATTATTTTTTTTAGTCATGAGGTGTTTTAAAAAAAGAAGAGGGTCATTCCCCTCAGCTTTTGCAAGGATTATACATAAAGAGGGGTTCGAAAATAAAACTTTTTCGCATCGAGAAAAACTTGGACTGTTTAGCCAGCAATTTTTTTGATAATCCACATAAACAATATTATGGTATATTATACACTTAAAGTACACATTAAACTTATACGAAAGTGTAAAATATGTCTACAAAAATGTGCTTATTTGCTGCAAGTATTAGTAGCTTCCCGGTTATTGTCTATAATCATAGACAATATTTTAATGTTTTTCAAAATGGTGATTTTTTTTATCGTGGGCCACTCAATATCTCACTTCTTCTTCTTCCTCTGTTTTGGCCGCCATCACAATCTTCCTCCATTTTTCTCGATCCTGAACTAATTCCCTCCATTCCTGTACTCCCAATTTATCAAGGTCTTCTTCCACAACATCCAGCCATCTTTTCCTGGACCTTCCTTGAGGTCTTTTTCCCATTGGTTTCCAGTTTAGGACTGCTCTACTTATATCATCCTCGCTTCTCCGCATCGCGTGTCCTAGCCATTGAATCCTTTGTCCTCTTATGAAGCTAATGACTGATGCAATTCCCAATTCGTCTTGCAGTTCTTTATTGAATTTTCTTTTTTAATTAACCCACTGTCAGTGTGTTGGGGTTTATTAAACACTGGTGCAAATAAGTTTGTTGAAAACCCCGTGACAGAAGATTTCTAAATATTTCTAAGCAACACACACTAACGAAGGTTTAAGAATATTTTACTAAAAATGTTGACTGGTTGATAACAAGTTTTGAATCGCTATTTTTTAAAGTTATAACAGCTTAAAAGTTAGGACTGGATGAGAGTGCGCGCAGATAATATAGTACTACACTCCACTTTTCTGATTTCATATTTTGACCTTAACACGTTAGACTTGATCATTTGCATTGTTGTGCACTTGATCATCCCTTAAAAAAATCATATCGCTATATGTTTATTATTTAAAAATTATAAATTAATATGAAATTAAAAGTTTTAATCTTAATCCCATTTAATTTTATCGAAAATAAGAGCGTTAAGCCGGTTGTAAAGCGAATACAGAATAGTAAAAATGTAATTATCTTTGGCCAAAAAATACTAAATTAGAGATTAGTCCGTGTAGACCCAAGTCATTTAAACGAGCTGTTTTCATTTTTC